TTGATTCCATAATGTTCTGCGAGACGCGTTGTTTAAAATGTTCAACAATAATTTGACCTTATTTAAAATTCTGGAAGTAATTTTTGTAATGACAATGTTATGTTAAATGTAAATAATGTATTTTATTGAAGTTAATTTTATCAAGGTTATTTTTGGTCAACGTTGTAGTTTTTTTGAATTATTTCCATATACATTTTTACTAAACTGCAATATTTTGTAAATATTATTTATGAGATTGTATGGTGATAAACTGATAAGCCTTTACTATAATTACAAGCTACTATCTCATCAATAATAATTGAGTACTTAAATAATTAAAGTAGGTAATAAACAATGAAGTTTAGGAGATTTTGAACTAATAACTATAATTATTATATAAATCGGAATTTAGCTTACTTGTATGTTCTAAGATAATTGAAACTAAAAATATTATTAATATGCATAACATGTGATTTTAAAGAAGAAACATTGTTTAATATTATGATAAAAATGTACTGGTGCTTAACTATTTCGTAGACATTTGGGTAACTAAAGTACCTAATCTACTGTCCTTCAAAGAAATTGAAGATATAAAATTAATACCTTATTAATAAATTATATTATATTATTATTATACATTTTTTAGTTTTTTACTATAAACTATTATTATTCTATTCATAATAAACATCTCATATTTTCTTGTAAATAAAATAGTTATTGTGGCTTGGCGTGGCGCGTTGGCTGCTACCAGTCGCGGAATGCGACTGGGAGTAAGTAACGGCCACAACTACTAGCTCCCGGATGGGTGACCACCCGGGTTCGTAGTAGTTAAAAACCATGCCACACATACACGTGTTTTCTACCTACCGTAACAACCCTAACAATCATAAAAACAACCTACCGTACCAACCTTACCCCTACTACTGTTCATAACCCCTATAACAGCTAATGCTAAAGACCTTAGTTGCCGGGCTTAAGTTCAATGAAAAAAAAAAAAAAAATAGTTATTGTAAACTATAGTTGAGGTAAAATATTTTTGTATAGACATTTTATTGATTGTCTATTGTGAATTCGGTATATTAGATTAGACATACAATAATAAAATACAAATATTATTTTTTGTTTAGTTATAAGTTTATAACTTGTAATATGCAATGCATGATTTATGGGTGGAGAGGGGAGTCCAGGGATATCTGACTCCGCATCACCAGGCACCAATAAATACATTTAAAAACAAATATAATCGATACTTGTTTTCATTAAAATTAAAAACATACATAGTCATTATATTAATACATTAAATACATAAAATGTTCATATATTTTCGAAAATATTTTTGTTAATCCTTGTTGTATTTTATGTATTAAAATATCATTTAACAGCTAATGATTAAATATAAATAATTTGAACTAGGTAGATATTTAAAAATTCAAATCGTTAATGATTTTCCTACCGACTGCTGTATTCCAGCCACTATTCTCTAATTACGTTGTTCGCGCGTTTCATAAAATATAATATGAATGCTATCCCCCACTGTTCAACCGCCACTGATATCAACAGGTAATTGATATGTAAATGTGTACATCAATTACGAGTGTAGGTACCTACATTAAATAGGTGGATGATAAAAATAAATGAAATGCAGACTGGAGTAACATGCTAAAATTACTTTTGTGCAATATGCATCATACATATATTACTTATTATTGTATAAGAAAAAAAATGGTAACACGCTGCACATACACACAAACACATACACGTGGCGAATAAACGTTAAAAGTCAAATTCAGAAAGGAGAATAAGACATTTGGATATAAATTGCATACGTTAGACATAATAAATAATACAGTATCGTAAAGGAATACTCGTATTCAGTACGTTTTGCATACTACAGCGATATTATTGTGCACTGTAGAAGTCACTGTTCGCGGGATCGGACCCTCGCGGTTCTGCAGTCGTCGGAGAACCCATGTTATATTATATTATGTTTGGTAGGTACCTATATAATGCATACAGTATATTTCGATCGCATTAAAATATGTTATCGGTCATCAATTTTCTGTATACATTATGTATTTTTTTTTTTTATATATATCGAACCGATCGTCTCTCCTCCGTTTCAGCGGCAGTCACTGTACTGCAATCCAGCACATAACGCCGACGTAAGACTATTCATAAATATAATATTGTATCACTCCCCGGAGCTCGACAAAGGTGAACAGAAGCCCCATATTAAAACCCGTGAACGTTTGAGCGTCTCGTCCGCATTCGTGCCATGCAAGTTTCCATTCCTGAAAAAAAACACATAGTCGCGGGGCGTACACTACAGAGAAATCTAACATAATTTCAGTCTCTTTGAAAGTGCAAAACTGAATTATTCTGTACGATACACGCCCGTTTCGAACTCCATCTTACGCGTATTACAAAAGCATTATTCCTACATTGTAGATCCCGGGGCGGTGGTCGTGTCTTGTTGTTTAAATCTAATTTTATTTCATATTTTGTTTGAAACAACAGTTCCTTTTATAATATCATTTATATCCACATAATATTACAATATATTATAATATCATAGGGTATGTTTTTATTGGGTAAATTTACTTATTATTGCCCCGAGTTTCGCTAACGATCGTTTAAACTTTTTGTAAATTCTTAAACAGCGTATGAGAGAAGAACATCATTTTTGAATAAGTGTGCAAGATTAAGATTATCGTTCTGAATTTAAAAAATAAATAAATTGTTTCTGAGCACAAGCCAAAGTAGTTTAACTATTTAAAGAATGCGCTTACAAAACATTTATTTATGTGCAATTATTTAAAAAAAACTACATCTTTGGATGCACACGTATTAGTTGCAAAGTTCAGGATTTATTATAAGGGTAGGTACCTGATAAGTTGTGAAGCATAGAATACCGTTACGGTGAAACGTTGATAATTTTATTAAAACGTAAAATAATATTATTCATCTTATTTTTAATTTATTGAAAAACAATTAAAATATGGTTAGACTGTTAAAGGTACCTATGGTCTGTAATTTATAAGCAAGATAATATCAAGGCAAAAATAAAAAAAACTAAAATTATATTTATTGGTCTTTTAAGTACAAATTATAATGGTTTCGTGTATTTCAATTGGATATATTTATACAGGCACCTAAGAAAAATAAAATCAGTTGGAGCCAGAGTAGGGTTATTTTGTCAAAATTGAAAATAACCACTTCTAAAACAATACTAATGTACAATAATAAATAGATAACTGAAATTCAAAAACTATTGTATACTGAATAGTGAATAATAGTGAATAATAAATAAGTTAATTTTTTTCTTTTAACAATGACTAATCATTTAAAAATATATTTTTTTTCAATATGTATAAGTAACTGTATAAGTATCTAATATTTGAGTTAGGAAAGAGACAGTACAATGTTGAATGCACAAAAACGTTCTATAATATTGTGTATTATTAATGAACCATTCTTACTTCAAAGACCCATAATTTATTTATAATATAAAATATAAATTAAGTTTTAACGATATACCTATTGATTTATCGTGTGAAAATGTATAGAATTGACTTCAATGTGAACACTAAAAGTCAAACCTAGTTTATATTACCTACTATATTAATTTTATTACTCAAAACAGTCGAGACTATCTTGAAGTTTTATTTACAACATTAATAATATATGACAAACTAGTAGTGTAAAAATTAATTTTAATCTAAATGTCGTCTGTTGAAGTATCTACCTAAATCATTTAATTATTTTACGATGTATTGGCTCAGTGGAAAATAGCATATAAAAAGGTCTGAGCTTTTTAAAAATATCCTTAGAGTTTTCTGATATATTTTTGATAATTCTGATTTATACATTGTTTTCTATCATCATAATGGTATTAAATTATGTATATAATTACATCGATTCCGGTATGTGACCTTTTATTATTTTATATAAAGAACACAGATCTGTGGTATAATTAAATGTTCAGTTCCAATTGAAACAACAGAGGGATTGTCTGGGTTATGATGAAAACATTCGATATTGTTTCTGTTAAACTTTAGTGGTTGAAAACTGGAAAATAAGGATTATCACAGGTTTAACAAAGTATTAGATTTGTGTTTAATGAATAATTTTTAAACCAATTTTAATTATTATGAAAATGACTCTTTTGAAATTGTTCATCAGATTTATAAAAAGATTACCAAGTTGCGTTAGACTAACCTAAACTATTTGCACAATGTAAAACTTTAGTATTAATCATTTAGGGATGCAAATTATTACGCTAAGTAAATTAAATTATATTTTTAGTTCTGAGCGAAGGTAACTTATTGTAAAATGTATTTATAAAAACTTAAAATTCAGAAAATAGTAAAACATAATCCTTACATATAATTAGTAATTACTGATAAGTGATAACTAATATTATATCCATTATCCATCTATTTTAACATTATTATTTAATAAAATTCCGAGTTTAATTAGTTCTTGATAGGTCGTTATAATATTAGCCATATTTTAATATAATATATACAACCAAGTAATTAAATACAAACACACATTTTTTAAATATATCTCGTAAGTATTAAAACAGTATATATTATGTTCATCTAATATTATATTATGAATTCGGATTAATTTTACCAACAATGTTTCAATATAAAAATTACTTTATGATTTTGTTATTATTTATAACACAATTATTCTGTGAAAAGTTCAGTCATTATACACATTCGTTAATTAATACCTATATGGATTTAGCTTACGTAAAGTTTGCTCTGATCAATAATCAATACCATAATACAACTCAACAGATTTAATAAAAATTAAGCTCGTCCGCCGAGATTTAAAGTTTTTTTTTTATTTTACTTTTAAAAATAAAACATTAATGTGTATTTTTTTGTTTAAATCATTTAATAATAATGCTATATTTATAAAATGTTTGAATACTAGAAATAGGTTTGATATTATTTGTCACCATTAGGTTCATTAAATATCCATAATTAATTATTTTTTTGTATTTTCAGGTCAACGGGAAATGGGGCTTGCCCCCGTTTGTTTGTGACTTCTACATTGCGATGGACGTGATTTGTAGTACATCGTCCATATTCAATTTGGTGGCAATCAGTATAGACAGGTAATTATTTATGTTAATATAAAACATACAACATTCGTGAAGTACCTAAATATATCTACCCACAGTGTTGTCAAACAGAGACAATACGAGTCATGATACTAAAGCTGCTATAAGTAAATGATTCTACAAAATTAAAATTTTACAAATACACTAATATAATATTATATCATATTTTAAGAAAGAAATTATGATAACTAGTTTGTTACGGACAGTGTTTATACAATAATACCCAAAGATAATACGAAATCTTATAAGACAAATTTGGAATATTTTTTAGAATTTCACATGCGTTTGCTTTTCTTTTGTAATTTTATTCCAGTTAGCGGTGTTCAGCAAAACTAAATAGGCATTTTTTTTTTTTGGGAAGGAGCACATTTTTTAGTTTTTAAATTTTATTGTATTCATTTTAAATCAATAACCCATATTATGTATATCAGACGTTGATTTTAAAATGTCTGTGAGGATTTTGAAGTGTCTTAGAAGATGTTAGTCGAACTAACTAGTCTTACTAATTAGTAATATTTGCACATGTCGGCTATCAGTTTATAACAGTGAATTATAGAAAACTGACGTTTGTATAGAAAATTATTAATTCTTAGTTATAATATTATATAATATATAAAACTTTTCTAAATTATTTGGATACCAGCTGACAGCTTTTACCAGTAAAAGATATATTACAATGAGATACAAATCTTCGTATATATGTAGTAATGTTAAATTAAAACTTTATCAATGAGTATGATTACTAATCTAACTCATCTAAGTATGAATACTATTATTATATAGATATAGATTATACATTTGCTCTAAAAGTTTGCAAGCTACGTGTCTAAAAAATACAAGAAAACATTTTTTTTTAATTGTGTGGATATACTATTAAGTGATTTTGTTTAAAAGTTGCATAAGTATGTACAGATATTTCTATTGAAAGTCTTGCAATTTAAATCCACGCATCCAATATATTTATGAATGTCCTGTTTTCTGGAATTTTGTGAATTATGCTTATGCATGAAGATATTTTAAACATAATATGTTACATTATTAGTTTTTATGCTTAGTGTTTACTTTATACTTTTGGCTTTAAGTTTGAAACGATTTGATGATGTGTATGAATTAAAGAAGAACTAAATGTTATATTATTTATTGACCCTTTTAAACTTAAAGTTACAAAAAAAAAATTATATTTTCATGAGCAAATGCATGTTGCAATTAACACTATTTTTTAGTCAGTAAACATTTTTTTTACAAAATTATCAGTCGTGTTGTACGTAAAAAGAATTTTAAATATTACAAATATTTATTTTTTTTAAATTTTTATTTATAGTCTATACATTTTGTAGTACAATAGATAAATTGTGTAAATGAAAATAACGACATGAGGTTCACGTGATGAGAGAAAATATCCATTCATATTACTCTTCAAATATATATATATATTTCAAAAGTAATATATATATATATATATATATATATATATATATATATATACGAGTACCTACATAAGTAATAATATCATTATAATAAGTTATCTAGATATCTGAGTTCTTGTATGAGTTCTGTTAAATATTCTCATACTTTTATTATTTATTAATAACGTAAATTTAACTTGATTAATAACTTAATTAATTAAATATCAAAGGACAAAGAGTATTTTATTTCAAAAAAATTGACTTTTGCAGTTGTGTATTCCTTCGATATATGCAAAATTAGAAAACCTAACTACTGTTGAATGGTGGTGAGGTTGATATTGGAAACAAATGCTTTTGATGGCATCGTGGATTATACGTAGACTACTTTAGTGACCTGCATTTGAATAAAAGGTACTTTTATTGTGAAAAGCATACACTTCATTACCTCTTAAGCTCCTTTAAGGGAGACGTGGACGAGCTAAGATATTACAGTTGAATAATTTTGTCGGAGAGGAAACGCAAAAAAAAAAAATGAAAGAAGGAGAGTTCAGGTTTTGGATGTATATATATCATACATAAAATATATGCATAAGTTGTTTGAATTTGTGAGTGAGTACACTGAATCAGTTTTGTTTCAAGATAAGAAGATGTTACTGAGGGGCAATTAAAATTTTAAATATAGATACATCGCCACACTATCTAATGCATTTCTCATTTTTTTTTAATTAGCCGACGATGCAATTGGTTAATTGAATTAGTTGAAATTCAAACAATGTTGTTTGTTCATCAATCAAAGAGTGTGCTTTCACAAATGATGAGTTATTATCGTTAACAATGATGGCGCGGTGTTTGTACTCGAATTCGGCGTATTCAATAATAATATAAGGCTGTTGTAGTGTTGAGTTGTTTTGCCTCACCTCACCCTCTACCATCACCCTTTATTACCACCTCACAGAAGTAGGTAGGTACATGGCTAAACGAAACTCGATGTTTCCCAAAATACATATTGAAACCTAGGGATATTTAAATATTTTTGTAAAAACTTTTGTGCTTCCAGCGTTTGGGTCAGCGTAATATAAACCTAGAGAATGAACATCATAATGTTATATATTAGATTATACCCCGGAATGTATTCAAAAATATAAATTACTATGGTTTGTTATTTAAAGTTTTAGAGTTGTGTTTTGCTTGAGCAAAGTTTTTGAAGTCAAAATGTTGAAAACTATTTCAATATACAAGTATCTAGGTAGTAAAATCACAAAGCTCAAATATTAAATAAAAAACAAAATTATTTTCCATCTGAAAGATTGACATTATAACAATATCAGTTATACAGCCTATAATAATGTATAATAGTATTATGTACACAGTATGCATGTATAAAATATAAATATACACATAATTGATTAGTTTTCTTCATTAATCATCCAAATTAATGAGTTAAAGTTTTAATACAAATTGACTGATATGTATGGTGTATATATAATATAATATAATATAATATTTTACACTAAATATATAGCTATTTGATTCAAATTATTATACAAGTTACGAAACTTGTCGATTTATACATATTAATTATGTTCAATTCAATTCCCATGATATAATAATAACGACCAACACATACTCGAGCCCCAGTGCTTATTTTCTCCCTATCCTTTTAACTGTCAATTTTCATCAATAAAAATTAATTATATTATATATTTTATATTACCTACTGCTAAAACGCTAAATTCAACTCTAACTTGTGTGTATAAAACGTTTACCTTACCTATGCAAAGTGATATATGTGGCACTTGGGTCCAATTGTTGTGTGTGTGTGTGTGTGTGTGTGTGTGTGTGTGTGTGTGGAGGGGGGGGGTTTGCAAAAATGAATCACAATTTACCGACTCATTGAAAAACATTACCCACTAAATATTTATTCTACGGGGTAATAGGGGGAGCACCCCTTTAGTTTTGTGTTCTTGAACAACGATATAGCCCACCACAACGTACTTCATAAATTGTTTCTATTTTTCTCTAACTATTAACACATTTGAAATAAATATAATAATTTTAAAAATATATTTATATATAACGTTATAACACGTTTATAATATATAACAGTATACCTATTAATATTATTCAATACCTATACACAATACAAACTGCCTCACAATATCTGACTAATATGAAATCCATCTAATAGGTAATGAAAATAATATTAGAAAATATTCATGTTGTACTTAGATGAACTGAAATATAAATTAATGACTCAAGTTTCTGGCTGCAAACATTTATTTAAAAAAATACATTTTTCCAGTAGTATTACCTAAATGGTCCACGTATGAATTTTGGTTTTTTTTTCTGAAGCAAACAGAACATAATCGGTACAAAAATGCCTTAAGATAAACATCTATAGTAAATAATTGAAGAAAATATTTCTTTAAGTATTTAACTGTGCAATTGATTGTCTAAATATGTCTGAGAATTACACATTAATTGTTAATGTGAACCACACAGATTCGTGATAGTTATTCAAATAATCTAATAGATCATTTCTTCTTGCTCAGCTCAACAGTTCACCCTTTAGGACCAATTTTGTCATCAAAATCCATCTCCATCTATTTCTTGATACGCTGTCTCTAAAGTTGCGTTCTGGTCTATTATTTATAAATTTTCGGCAAGTAACACATTTTTTATTAGATGCCCATCTGCTCTACGTGCATGCCCAAACCATTCTAGCAGTTTTCTCCTAATAAAGGGGAGAATGACTGGTCTATTATATGGATTTTTTATGTTATAATTACTTCTTCTTTCATATGCTTGTATTGATGGGTTAAATATTGGTCCATATATGGTTTTTAACACTTTCCTTTCAAACGTAATAAGTCTTCTGCTACCACCTCTGGTCAATGACCAGGTTTCACACTCATACGTTTTTACAGTTCAGATGTAGGTATGGTATAGTCGTATCTTTGATTCTCTAGATAATAAGGAGTTTAAAACTGAAATAGCACATATTTCCATTCGAAATTCGTTCGTTTACCTCTATGTGCTTATCATTTTTTGTTATTGATGTTCAAACCTAAGTACTTGAAGTTGTCAACTTTTCCAAAATTGTAATTTCGACCGTGTACTTAGTTTTCTCTTCGTTTATATGACGTAGTCCTATCTCTCTATTTGCGTTTATGAGCTTGGATGTTGCGTTAGTGACTTCCTCTTTGGTTTTGCCCATTACCACAATGTCATCTGCATACTCTAACATGACTTGATATCTTGACCCTTACTTACCTCCATCCTTCGGGCTTCGGTCGTCATTTGTGTCTCTAATTTTTTTTTTCGAGAGCCATTTTTAATAATGTGGGTGAGAGGGCGTATCCTTGTTTTAGGCCAGATTTAACTTCAAAGTGATCTGAGATGCCTTGCAAATAGCGCGCCCTGCATAATGTTTTTTTCAGAAGATTATTTTATGAAGTCCTCATATTTTTTGATATACCCAAAATTACTAGAGTCTTCCAAAGCGCTTCTCTGTCAACGCTATCATAAGCTTAATTGTACTCCACAAAAATTAGGCTCAAGTCCTTTCCAAATTCGTAATATTTTGCC